GCCAAACCGACTGTGTTACCCAGGCGCCCCTGACAGTTCTATTCCTGGGACCTAACCACGAGACAGAGGGACCTTTGTCCTCCACCACGGCAGCCTAGTCCATAATGGCCCCAAATCAGAAATACCAGTAGAACAATTTGTAGGGTGGAATACGGCTCAGCAAGAGAAGGGAAAGAGCTGATGCACACAGCAGCAGGGTTGAGCCCCGCAGACGTAATGGTGGGAAAGAAGCTGGACACAGGGGAGCAATGCTACATGGCTCATTTAGACGAGGTGCCACCGCCAGCAGAAGGAATCTCTGGGCGCAGGTAGGAACAGTGGCTACCCAGGCAGGCGGCTGTGGCTGGAAGGGGGATGAGCGGGGTTCTGGGGTGCTGGTGGTGTGGCCTGTGTCTTCATCCGTGTGTGGTTTCAGGGGCGGACACGTGTGTAAGAACTTACTGGGTTGTACACTTTGCCGTTACTCATTTTATCGTCCGTATGTTATGGCTCAATAAAAATAAATAAGTGTCGACAAAAGCAGGCCGTTCTTCTACACAAGCCAAGTCGACCCGAACGTGTTAGGTTTAGATCGGGCCTAGTCAGCACTGAGCTTCCTGAAAGCTCACGAAGAGAATGGGGTCCATCAAGAACTCTCTTCCTGCCTGTCTGCATGAGCTCTGAAGGAGCTGCTGGTTGGAGGGGAACTGCCGGAGTCTTAGAAAGCAAGGCTCGGTGACAGCCGTCCACACTGGTGGTTATGGGAGGAGGTGAGGTGTGGACGTGTGAGGATGACAGACAGACAGACAGACGGTGGAGCCTTGGGGTGTCCACTCTGCGGTGATGCTGCAGTAGGGACACGGCTGAGATTAGACCTCAGGTGACCCTGCAGGTAGGGGGAGAGGCCAGCGGGAGCCGGGGGGGGGGGATGGAGGTGGGGGGAAAGGCCAGCAGGAGCCTGGGGGAGGGGATGGAGGTGGGGGGAGAGGCCAGCGGGAGCCTGGGGGGGGATGGGAGGTGGGGGGAGAGGCGCTGGGAGGTGAGGACCCAGGGCAGGGGGACGGGGCAGCGGTGAGGGCTTGGACACTGCCTGGGGATCCACCACCACAACCACCTCCACTCCGCAAACCCAGAACCAAACTCCTCCTCTTTCTCTGAAAAATGAGCCCTTCTCTCCGACTCCCTTATTTCTGTCGCTGGCGATTCCAGTCTCCTATAACCTGCATCTGGCTACCTGGGAACTGCCCTCGCCTCTCCCTGTCCTCCACAGCGTTTGAGCCTCTCCAGGGCGTCTACAGCCCACTCTTGCCCGGGTGTGCTCCACAAGGGCTGTCACCACATATGAGACACAATGACAAGGGTATGTATTCACCGCCTGCCATGTTCCGGGCCCTGCGCTGAGACTTTACATTGCTTTTATCTGTCTTGGCAAAAATTAAAGCACGAAGCAGGTAAAATATATTTTCACTTTACAGGGAAGCAAACTGAGGTGAGGAGAAGTGAAATAACTTGGCCGAGGCGATGGTTTTATGTGGCTTCAGCGCCGGACCTGTGTGTCCCTCTGCTCACCTGCAGGACGCACCCCCACGCCCACCCCTGCCCCGGGGTGCAGTCTCCTGCTTCCTTAGAGCAGTAGCTCCCAGCAAAATCCCTCTCCCAGACGAGGCATTCACGTAGTTAATGGTGGCGTTACTTAGAGACTCTGATTGCACAGAATTTAGCAACAAGTTTATGACCGAAGAAGACCTGCTGTGATGGAGGGAGACGTGTGGGTAACAGAGCGGCGCCAAGTGATTTCTGGTCGCCTCTAGAAGGCTGTCGGTAGAGGACCACCCTCACCGGCTCTGACCCTGGCGCTGACCTCCTCCCTGATGGGGGCTTCTGCTCACAGTCCAGGGGGGCAGGGGGCGGTAGGGGGAGAGCAACGCAGGGGGGGCTGCTGGACGCGTGTCCAAATTCCAATTCTGTGCCCTGGGGAATGTCACCGCATCTACCCAGGGCTGGGGGATGGTGACAGACGCTTCGGTGCGCCCCTAGCTGGGAAACCCTCAACCGTGCGGAGAAACCACCGCGGCTCAGAGTCCCCAAATACCTGTGTTTGGTGCTTGCTTCTGAACACTGCCCTCACTTCCATAATCAGGATCTCCCCTGGCCATGGCTGGGGGTAACATAAAACCCGGCTCGTAAATACTACCAGGCTCACGGGCCAGCTGTCTGGAGGAGCCGATGAGTCCCCAGCAGAAACCTCAGCGTGCAGCGCGTGCCATCTGCAGAGCGCCCCGACAGCTACACGCGGGCCCCTTCGGCCTCCTGCAGAGCCGGGGCGGGCCAGGCCCTGGGGGAGCCGGCCCAGAGCTCCAAGATGCAGCTCTTTCAAGCTCCCTCACACTTGCACATGAGAGGCTCCCCCTTAAAAAAAACTTTCCCACACAATAAAGGGGAAAAGGGACTTATGACTGTTAGTTTTAGTTTTTGTTTTTTAAATCACTGTCTGGCTGAGCGGCAGTGGGCACAGCTGAAGAGAGCGGAAGCAATGCTGCCGGCCACTCCTGGAGACTCCGATCTTGCCTCTGCCCTTTGACTAGCTGCCTGCCTTTGTGCAAGGTGCTCAACCCGAGTCTCTTTCTCTCACTTCCCTCCCGACTCTTCACATTTAGGCTCCCGGGCCCGGCCCTCCATAGGGTCCCCCGTAGACGCCCGGGCTCCTTCCTCTCCCTCTGCTGCAGGAGACCATTGCTTTTATTCTCCTCGCAGATCCTGGAGCCCCACAGCCTTTGCTTATCCCCGAGTGCAGTTCTCCACCTCATTTCCTTCTCCTTATTTGTCTCTCTCCGGTGTTTGGCATGGACGGGAGGACATTTGCGAAAGGGAAGAGAGAGGGAGTGGGTGGGACGCTCTATTTGGAAGTTAAGCAAAGGAAATACAGTACGAAGGGTATGAGCGGATCCTTCAGAAGGCGTCGGGGGCAGCATCCGGGAACGTGATGGTAGGGGTGCGGAAGCCAGCAGAAGTGTGGTCAGGACAGCCGACCGTGGAGGAGGGTGGGAATGCATGGCCAGGGCCGAGGGCGGCCGTGTGCACGCTGTGCCTCGGGCACCAGTCACCCAGGGCCACAGCCCGACGACCCCACTCCGTGGACTAACCCTCGAGCCCTGTCCACGGCACCCTTCCCAAAATCCTTGGTTTCTGCCCTGCAACTTCTAACTTATGGGTGGTGCAAGGCAAGAATTTGTAGCCACACACTCTGTAGAGTCCAAAGTGTGGGAGAGGGGAGAGGCACACCCTGGACCGCCCCACCCAGCACCCGGACTCTACTCACTCCCGCGAGCACGCTTACACGACCGACTGCCGAGACCGACTCCCATCTCGCACCTCCCTGAATTAAATATTCATGTCTCCAAACCTTCACCTGCTCCCCGCGTGGCCCCCAGCTTCTGGGTCTGCGAGTTGGGACCTGACGTGTTTGCTGCAGGGCAAACTGTCTCATTTAGGGCCAGGTCTCAGACCCCGGGATGCTACAGACCCCTTGACTCAAAATCACGCCCACATTTCTGTCCGGATGACCAGTGCCAATCACAGCTGCCCGTGTGCTTTTGATTAGGGACACGGCCTGCCATCTGGCCCCGCAGTAGCGTGTGTGTGCATGTGTACGTGCGTGCTCACGCGCATGGGCACGCTCGCGGTGTGGGCATTTGGCTCCAGCACAAGAGCTACCACGTGTTGGGGAAATTCAAACAGCCAAGCGGTCTGACCGACATGAGATTGAGCATTTGGACGGTATCTGCACCAGCCAGTGTCTTTGTTTAAGCGCTTTCCTCCTCGCTTGAGGCTGCCGAGAATGAAACGGCAATGAAAGAATTTAAAAGTCCCAGGGTGGCCGTTCTGAAATCCAGTAGGAAGCACTACCCTGCCATACATTCCAGTCCCCGCTTCGCCTTGCTCAGAAGGCCTAGGCTTGGTGAAAAACAACTGCCACGCAGCCTCCCCGCTCCCTTCAGACGCCAGCGTTACCTTCTACACGACAGGCCTAGCTCCGCTGCAAACCGCACTCCTAATTCCAAACATGTACCTTGCTCACCGCGGTGTGCACATCCGGGAAGGAGGAAAACAGCCCTGGGAATTCCCTCCCTGGCATCGGGTGCTCTAAAAGTAGCCGAGAATCTCCCCACCGGAGTGGCTGCGGGCCTGGGGTGTGTTTAATCTAGAATCTGATTTCTACAAATCTTTGGGGGAGGGAGAGCAGAGGGAGATGATTTAGAGGGGTGGGGTGCTCAGCTGACACGGTTATTTCCCATCCTTCCTCTAGATCCCTCTTCTGCTCGTCTCCGGGTTCTCAACCCAGCTGGGCTCCTCAGTGGGCTCCTCTGACCCCTGGATTTCCCCCCGGGTTTGGCAGCAAATCTGGAGGAGCCCCAACGGCGGGCTCAGGTACGAAATCGCCCGATCCAAGCCTGGCCTTTCTCTGCAACGTGGCCTCTCGTTCTTAGCCCTGGTGCCTGCTCCGTGCCCACTGCCCTTCTGGCCTCAGTGGGTGACGGCTGTCACCCACGAGCTCCGGGACATCACAGCATGCCTTGTTGGTTTCCCTAACCCTGCCCATGCCTTTATAAAGAACTCCTTTATTAAATTCTCCAATGAGCATGTTTCTGTCTTCTGCTGAGACTTGGATGGAACGACAAGCTATGATTTGATATATCTCTTGGCTTTCCACAGCCCTCTTTCCCCAAAGGCAAAGCGTCCGAGGCTTGGACGCTGTGCGGGGGCCAGCCTGAGCCAGCAAGACCACATCAGTGGATGCTCAGTCACCAGAAGGCAACATGCTGTCCATCCATTGAACCCACTATAGTCTCCCGCCTGTAGAGCTATTGGATCCCTGCCAGAGCAAGAAGAAACACCTCAGCTGGAGGATGCCATTCCAAATATTTTTCTGGAGGAGGGGAAGGGGAGGAGAGAGGAAGGATGGTGCCGCAAGCGACTGTTGTCTCGGATGTGACCACGAGCCATCCCATATAAATGCCCACCTTGTCTTGCTGTGTACTCATTGTCTTCGATCAACCTCGCCAATCCAAAGTCAGCAATCTTGCATATTAGTCCGTTCCCCACTAGGATGTTTGCTGACCGCAGGTCCCTGTGGATGTAATTCATGCGCTCGATGTAAGCCATTCCCGCGGCAACCTGTAGGAACGGAGGAACAGGACGCACGTCACACCACGACTCCACGGGCTCACACGGCCTTACGCCTGAGGCGGGCGTCAGAGGACCACGCAGCCTACCTGTGCTGCCATATCCACGAGGTTTGGTAATTTCAGAGCTCTTCCTTCCCCGTCTTTTAAGAAATCGAGTAAACTTCCTGTGGACAAAACATAAAACCATTTCAATTTACTCTGGAAGATAAAAATGCCTGACAAAGGGCTGCATTTGGTTTTCTTATTAGAAGTAATGAGGTGATTGAATAGATGATGCCATTAATGAAAAAAAAAAGAGATTTATACAAAAAAAAAGGAGGGTAGAAAAAACTCTTGTTTGAGAGGCAGCGGTTTTATCTTTCAGATTTCAGATTTCAACACAGACAACGGTGACTTTATTTCTAAGAACAAAAGTTTGGGGATGCCTGGGTTGTTCAGTGGTGGAGCATCTGCCTTTGGCTCAGGGTGTGATCCCGGGATCCTGGGATCGAGTCACGCATCAGGTCCCTGCAGGGAGCCTGCTTCTCCCTCTGCCTGTGTCTCTGCCTCTCTCTCTGTGTCTCTTGTGAATAAATAAATAAAATCTTAAAAACAACAACAACAACAACAACAACAACAAAAGTTTGAAAAAAGCATAACGCGTGGGATATGATTCCCTTTATGTCACAAAGAAGGACACGTGGGGATACGTGGGAGCTGCACCACTTTGCTTAATCCCCCAGCAGTCCCCACTGACATGGGGAAGACGCTGCCCAGCCAAGTGGTTCCCGAAGTGTGGTCCTGGGACCAGCAGGGATTGCATCCCTTGGGGAATCTGTTAGGAAGCTCTCAGGTTGTGTGCCAGAATCAGAATCAGAAACTCAGGAGGCAGGGCCTGGAAACCTGCAGTGTGAGAAGCCCCCTGGGTGATCTTGATACATAGCAAAGTTTGAGAAGCACTGGTCTAGCTTATTTACAGATTTTTAAATCAAGGAAAGAATATCTGAGGAATATAGAGTGGGGCAGGTAGCTCCCCTCGTTGGATCATGGCCAGCCAGGCCTTCCGGATATTTGATGCCTCAGAGACACCATGACAGCACGGCCTAAGTTGCTTAGGACCAACACCAGGGCTCGAACAATCATGCGCAGAGGCCGGAGGCTTGCGATGGTCACTGGTGATTGCTTGCATGCTTTAATCACAAAGTTATTGACCAAATAACCCTGGAGACAAAAGACAAGCAATCTGCCAGGAAAAAACATTTTTTCCGAATATATTTAAAAACAAAGTACATGGAAAGGAAAAAATTACACTGGGGTCCTCTGTTGTACGATGCATTCATTGCCTTTTAAGGTTGTTTCTTGTTTGGTTCGTCTATTTTTTCCGAAACAAAGTGATCTTTGGCCTTATCCCTGGCAATACTGCTTTTGATTAGAAAGACAGAGAGAGAATGAGAATAAAATGCGCTCTCTAGGCCGCTTGCGTGCTGCAGTTGATTGAACGCCTGGCTCTTGGTTTCGGCTCAGGTCATGATCTCCGGGTCATGAGATTGAGCCCTGCATCAGGCTCTGCACTCAGCAGGGAGTCTGTCTGCTTGAGACTCTCTCTCCTTCTCCTTCTGCCCCTCCTGGTTGTATTCTCTTTCTCTCTAATAGATAAATAAATAAATCTTAAAAAAAATGTGCTCTTTAAAAGCATGTCTTTCTTCATCTGATATTTAAGAGAGTTGGAAAAACAAAGGTGCTGAGAAGATGGGGACAAAATGAACCCAGAGACCTGTGTCTGATATGAACCATTCAGCCCTGAAAAAGGAAATTTAGCACAAGGCATGCCATCCGAAATGACAGCAAATGATCACAGCCCTCGCCACCACCCTTGACGTTAAAAATGAATGCTTTCGTTATGGAGAGGAGCTGAGACTCCTGACGTGTGCAGCGTGTAAAAGGTGCTGTGTTTCATAAGGACCGAGGGGTGGGGAGCACACTCAAGGTCATGGTCTATTTTCATTAATGAGCAGACAATTTGTGCTTCCTGACGGGAATGCTTGACTCATGCAGAAAGCAGGGAAAAAAGCAAGCGGGCACCTCCATTTCCCTCCCCCAAACAACCCCTGTGGGTCAACTGTGAGAGGGATCCCAACCTTTATTCATGTACTCGGTGACAATGTAGATTGGCTCCTCGGACACCACCGCGTACAGCTGGACCAACTTGTCGTGTTTCAACTTCTTCATGATCTGTGCCTCCTCCAGGAAGGACTCAGGGGACATTGTGCCTGGTTTAAGAGTCTTTATGGCTACTTTTGTGTTTCCATTCCAGGTACCTGCACACATCCCACAATATTGAGTCAAATCAAAGCTCCTCTTTTGAAGGAAACAACAACAAAAAAGCTTTTCAATCAATAGCTCCTTACATAAAGTTAGAGTTTAACTTAAAAACTTAATCTCTTTTTTTTTTTTTTTTTTGTTGAATGAGGACAATCAAATGTAAGGACTCTGTCAAATATTTTCAACAGGAAAAATGCGTTTACCTATGGCCGTATTACTTTTTTCTGATTTCGATATTATGCGACTTTCCTTTTCTGGGGCTCACTCATGTGATTACAAATTGTTACCAAAAGCTCTGGACACTTCTTTACAAGGATGAAAGCCCAAAGGTCATTAGAACAGGCCCGGCCATCCCATAGCTATCCCTTCGGCAGTAGAGTGAGCATGGATGAAGCCATTTTATGAAGAGTGCCATTAAAAAAAACACATGGCAACACACTGAGGATGTCTGGAAATTTCCTCTAGACTTTCAACTGTCTGCAGTGGATGGGCTACTTGACTGAGTCCTTGAACAGCTGATATATAGGTAAGATCACAAGTATGCTATTGAGCTTTGGCAAGAAGCTCACAGCCTACTTGCCCCATACTTCAACCAGGTAAGGAAAGTTCCTCATGTTAACTGATGGTCAGCCACAAGAACAATAGCTTCTATCAGTTAGAGTGAAAAAATTAAACAGCAGCTAAGAGGGAACAGAAGTATTTAGGCATAACATGTTAAAATCAAGTAGATACAGAGACAGGCCTGGTTTATGATCACGGGTTGCCTCATCTATAAAATATAGGAACGGAACTGGATTATCTTTTGAATCTCTTTCAGCTCCAGAATTTAAAAAAAAAATCTAGGTTCAATGTGTATTCCATTATTAGTCTTATAATAACTATGAGTTAAAACTCTAAGGGAGGGGCACCGGGGTGGCTCAGTGGTTAAGCATCTGCCTTTGGCTCCGGTCCTGGGATCGAGTCCCGGATCAGGCTCCCCACAGGGAGCCTGTTTCTCCCTGTGCCTTTCTCTCTGTGTCTCTCATGAATAAATAAATAAAATCTTTAAAAAAAATCTGCTGAGTTAGATTATGCCTTTACTATTTGTAAAGAAAACTAGTTTAAATGAAGATTAATTTTTATATTTGATATAACTGATTTTAGAATTAAAAAATTCTGTAACCTTTGGGTACTCTGTTCAAGGCATGGTTCATATAATGATGACATGCAACCTAGAAAAATCTGAGTTAGGAAAGAGCAGTGGCTTATAGAAGAGTTCATTCAAATTATAAAATATCTGACTGCTACATGTAAGTGGAGAAGGTGACAATCTGTAAGTGGTCTTTGCTATTTGAGCGCTGTCAGCATCCCAAAATTTTAAATAGAGATTTTCTTCTCTGGTAACAACCCAGTTAGACTCACTGGCATTCCACCATAACGTGGTGTTTTATGTTTAGTAGGAAACAAATTCGTAATAGTACGGCATAATGACTTCAAGTTGATAATTATGCATTTTGAAAATAAATCTTCGTGGAATGTCCAATTCTTCCTGACTGCATAAATGAATTAAAATCTTGGCACCCGCAACTTCAGTTATAAATTGAGCGGATGAAGGAGAGGCAGGCCATATACAGATATTCATATATGCTTATTATATAGTAGCTTATACACACATATATGTGCATGTCTGCGTGTCTGTCTCTAACCTTACTGCTCTATCTACAGCTATGTAATACTTATTCCTTGCCAGGTTCTGTTCCAAGTGCTTTCCCTGTGCTAAATCTTTTAATGTTGACCACCCCTAAACACTTAGAGCTACACAGAGCAACAGGTACCTATCTTTATTGTTTTTAATTGAATCTAAGAAAGGAAGAAGGCGGATTCCATAAGCACCAACATCTGTCTCACTGACGGAGAGGTGTTTTGGGTGGGGCCAAATTAAAGGATTTTCTCTAAGCCAAGCTGCCATGGACCAAAGGCTGTTATAAAAGAAGTGGGACGGGCCGAGGGCAGTCAGCCTTATCAATGACACGACAACCAAATTAAGAGAGGTCTGAGTGGTCTACTGAGCATCCACTATGTGCAGGGGTTCTGAGTATATTGTCCATGTCATCCTCAATCCTGTGAAGTAGATATCATTCCAATTTTACAGATGAGGGAACTAAGGCTCAAAGACATTAACTTAGCCCCTTGCCCATGGTTAATCAGCTAGGAAAGGTTCAAATGCAGGCCCACTGAGCAAAAAAAAAAAAAAAAAGCCCATGGTCTTTCCCTATAGTAACCCGTCCATCGTATCTTACCTTCTTAGGTCTTAGGGAGAGGAAACAACGGATTCTTACTGTATTGGTTTCCTGTTCTGTGCACGCCTGCCTTCGTTAACCACGTGACGGAGGATAGAGGAGCACAGCGAAGTATCGCCGTGCTCTCAAAATCTGGACGTCCTGTGCCGGACTGGCTACCCAGGTTAAATGTCTTGGTCCCAAAAACTGTGTGTGTGTGTGTGTGTGTGTGTGTTTGTCCCAAACTGTCTTTTTAATTGGCTCTGAGGTGCAGCCAAAAGCAATGCGCCCTCTGCCTTACCAAGCCACACTTCAGCGAAACACCCCTGACCCAGCTTCTTCTCCAGAAACAACGAATCACGTGCAACTTCCCAAGCATCTTTAGCCAATCCAGAAGTTTGTGGGGTACAACTCGATGCAATCACAGTTAAGTTAAAGCACAAACCATCAGCTTTGTCTACAGGAAAGGGAATTAATAAAGAAAACACAGTCCTTATAATCCATAATCATGCATGCACTAGGGAAGATGGAAGGTGACTTGCCCCTTAGGGCGACACTGAGCTCACTGGGCAAATGTCTGCACTTGAAAATGAAGGGCTGGAACGTTCCTCCTACTATCTTCTGGCTTATGAATTGAGACTCATATGATAGCATAATTTGAGCCATCTGCCAATCGTGACCACTACTTCTCTTTTGGAAATTCTGGAATTCTGAAATCAAAATCAAATGTATAATCCCCCACTATTAGTAATTTAAACCTTCTTCCTTCCGGGTCACAAAGTCTTTACTTTCACCTTCCATCTTTGATGTTTGGGACTTCCCAAACGAGAGAGCTACTAATAGAATAATTGAGTCTCAGCATACCCATCCATACTTCCCCAAACTGCCCATTTCCCAGTCTCTTGATCAACTGCAGGGATTCTCGAGGGATTTCCCAGACATCTTTGGTTTTGACAGACAGATCGGTAAGCCTTGGCATCCCTTTATGACAGGGAACAACTAGGCGGCAGCAGAGACCTGCGGCTCTCTCTGATGGAGTGGAGACAGCAGCAGGAGAGGGAGAGAAAAGCAGAACATGTGAAACGACACTTAACAGTTGCACAAACCCAGCGAGCGCACAGCATTGCTCAAAACAGGGCTACGTTGGCGGAGAACTGCACGTATCTTGGAAGATTAGACACCACACGTTGAAACATGTTCATTGGAGGTAGAACAGGAAAGACATTTTAAACATGGACCGCTCCATGCCTCCAGGTAGTATATAGGCTACACACATACACAGGTACAGGTACGGCTGTTTTGGTTTCTATACTCGCTGATGAAGAAAAATGTTTTCTGTCCGAGATGCTAATGACATGTCTCTGGAGCCCTGGAGATCTCTCCAGTGACTTCATAAGGTACCTTTGGAAGACAGAACATCAGCATGACTATCCTCTCCCTTTCTAATATCAAGGGTTCAGGGACTTTCTTTGGTTTGAACATATTTAAAATTGTGACTTTAACTCAGGATTTTTCCATAGAATGTTAGACTGTTATAAGCCAGGAAGACTGAAGATTATACCTGGCCGGGGAAAAAAGAGGTCACATTTCTCTAGGGATTTCTTTGGCATTTTAACTGACTCTATTCTAGCCGTCAGATACTCTTGCTTCTTTGATATTTCCCATTAAAAAAAAATCTTTATAACCGTCTTCAATGCATAATTTAGAAATCTGGTTTCAAAGCAGAAAGAAAGGAAACTGAAATCTGCAGAAACTCAAGGCTGAGAAAGAATCCTATTTCCTATGAAAAAAGACAAAGGAAACAAGTTATCACTTATGGGCTATTTGGATTTTTTTCCCCTTCTCTCTTTTCTTTCTTTTTCTCTTCGTTTTCTTTTTTCTTTTCCTCTTTCTTTCTTTCTTTCTTTCTTTCTTTCTTTCTTTCTTTCTCTCTTCTTCTTCTTTTTTTTTTTTAAAGAATATACCTTTTAGAATATATCAGTGGTGAGGGGAAATTGCCTAAATGTCAGGTTAAATGTCTGCCAGGTAAGAAAAAGTAACAAAGAATAAGGGATCGGAGCAGTGACAAAAGCCGTAGAGCGCCTGGCGTGTGCAATGGACAGCGCCCCGCCCGCCACGTCCCACCGGAGGCCCCTCGGATCCAGGGAAATCCTGTGGAGGGTGGTTGTCTTTTCTCCAGGAACCAGCCTTAAGTTACTTTTTATTCCTTTATGGTAGAACCAGGTTCTGAGATGTTTAGGCAGGAAATTATTTATGTGTCAATATTTCAGAGGCACTTTATTGCATGAGAGAGAGAGAAAGAGGGAAGAGGCAAAGCCAATATAAAAACAAATCTAACTTGAGATGGAATTTTTTTTTGAGATTAAAAAACGTCTATTGCTCTTCATATCCTTTCTCTCCTCCAGCTTTATGATGTTATTAACGTGCCCTTTCCAACACAATATTTTCAAATGATCCAAACCCTGGGGATCCTGCTGATGTTTGGCTGTAATGAAATATATTTCGGCATTTGAAAAATCCTTACATGTGCGGGCACTTTGAGTATGTCGCTTAAGCTCAGGGAGATATTCTGCTTCATTTCTCCCAAATATTTCATTAGAATCCATATAAACTAAACCTATCCAATGCCCTAATCAACGAGTACTCCAAGTCCTGTTAATTTTTCACTTTTTCATTAGTGCCCAGGATGAATTGATAGGTATTTCTTATTGCCACTTTCAAAAGATTGCTTTTTTTCAGTGCTAAAAAATTATACACAATTTTTTTTAAAAAAATGAATGTGCACAGAGCAATAGCTGAGGTCAAGCCATGTACTATTTTGGGATTTTGTTATTGTCCTGAAGAACAGTATATAACGTGTATATATATATGTATGCATATATTATGTGTGTACACATAATACACACACACATATACAGATCACAGAAAAAACTACAGGGTTCAATGGGACATAGATCTGTATATGCATGTGCATCTATGTAAAAATCCACCTGTGTGTATATGTTATATGGTGCGATAGCCTTGCTAATCTTAGAAAGTAATCGTTTTGACACTTGTATATAAGACCTTATTCTTTACTAAAATGTGCGGACTGTACACCTAAATACCTCATAAGCATATATTTCTAGGAACAACACACTAACAGTGACCTCTGGGTGTTAGGACAGCGACTGATCTAGTTACACTTTGTAAGCTGAATTTAATACAATAGCTATAACAGATCTAGGAGCTGTGGGCCGCACAGTCTACATCTAGTTAGGAAACAGCCGTAGTGGTAGAGGAGTGGAACGTGATAAATGGACTGCAAAATGCATCCGGTCATGGGAATGAAAAGCATGTGCAGCCAGTCCCGTGAGTGCTGAGTGTGAACTGGGGACCCTCGACAGGAGCCCCCCCGCCCCCCACACCGTGAGTTCCCTCTCAGACACTGTTCCCTCTCCTGTCACGGTTTCTGATTACAGACTCCAGGGGAACAGGAAAAGATGACAACGTTTACAATTTAACCTACTGCTTCGTACTTGGGAATTAGAATGTTATAGAATCTTTTGACAAATGCGTGGAACTAATAACAACCATGGTAAAAAGACATCAACAGAACCTATTCAGCTAAGCCCCACCTTGCCTGGCCGCAAAGAAAACTATGCCACTGCTGACCTTGCTCATGCTTGTACCTCCTCCCCGCCCCGACCTCCCTAGGAGCCTCCCCGTTCCCTCCAGTGTCCCGGTGGTGAGTAGCTAGTCAGAGTCAGGGTTACCTGAGTAATGTTGTACAAGCTGCTGAAGTGTTTCAAACTGGGCCCGGGTGGTAATATAGTATCCACCATTGTCAAGTTTGCGAATTTTATAATGTTTGACATGGTCTCCTTTCATATCATCCCAATCTCGGATCGACAGTGAATAGGCACCTGGTAAATATGCAAAGCATTAGCAGCTCCAATAATTTTGAAAGCTCGTTTGTTTTTTGGGTCTCACTTACCTGACTATTCTGATTAACCAATATGAAGAGGACACACACACTCTTCCACTCAGTAACAGAAGAAGTAAACACCTCTTTCTTGCAAATGTCAGAAGTTATTAGCAATTAAGTCATTTTATCCTTGAGAATGAAAGCGTCCTGCATTTCTTCCTACAACACCCTCTTCAGTACCCTAGTGTTGCCTAATATGGTATTAGACCCAACTCCCCTGGGGGCGGATGAAGAGAAACACAGACATGCAGGCAGGCTAGGGTCTCTGTCCTCATCTTCCTTACCCCTGGAGTGCTGCAGAGGCAGTGGCCACGTGTGTTTGAAGAAGGGTAAGGACCGTTTCTCTAGAAAGGAGCCTTCAGATTCCACTTCACCGTCTCAGGAGCACATAACCATGGCTAGTAGATCAAGCTAGAAGGCCACTGCTCCTCCTTTCCCTTGGCCCAGCTCCCTTTTGTGGGCTCTGATGTGTGGGTGGTTAAATAATGAAAGGCCAGTGGTTGGAGGAAGAGCAGTCCTCAGATTTGAAAAAACAAAAGGAATGCAAAAATAACCTGTAGGTTTGGTGCCTGAGGAACTACAAGCTGTAGAAATCAGTAACTCTAAAGAACTGCCGTGAATTCTATCATCTTGCATGTCTGCAGGAGGGAAGCTGCCCGGCCCTTGTTTCGGGAGAAAGGGCTTGATTCTGAGCCTCTACAGTTTTTTTGGAGCTGTCTGTGGTTCTAGAGCCTGGGGGGGGGGGGGGGGGAATCTGAAAATAGGACTCTGCTCACAAGGTGGGGAGGATATGTGCCATTTAAAAATCCTTGTACATTAGAGAGAAGCCTTTTCATCTGCTCTGACTAATCCACAGATTTGAATGACAACCAAGTTCTTCAACTCCTTATCTTACCTTTGGTGGTTTCACTTTCACGGATAAGAAAGGTACCTCTCGGGTTTCCAAAGGACAAAAGCTGTCGCTCAGCATCTTTTCGGCCAAGTTTTCCAAAGTACCACCTTTAAATGAGATCAAGGGAAGGAAACATTTTGTAAGGGATCATTTACAAAACTGCAGTAGTGATCCTCCTCACCTCCGATCGCATCCGTAGCCTTTCCCCGCCCACGTTTTCCTAGCCTCATCTAGTTCCCTTTCAGTCTGCTCCCGATTCCATCCCTAATCCATCTTTTTCAGTCTTTGAAGAAAATAAATCAGATTGGAATCGTGGGCGATTTTCCTTCTCTTCCAGAGGTGACAAGAACTGGTTTGTGTTAACACTGCCACCTGCATTCACAAGAAGAGAAATCTAAGACCTTGTTTTGAAATGGCAAGTGCAGGAGACCCTTTCCCTGCATGTCTATAAGACCCTGGGTTTCTGAGCATAATTACAACACCTGGGAAATAACGAAACGCAGCCTTGGTCTAAGTAAAGATCATTAATCAAGCATTGAAAAAAAAAAGTCAGGATGGATAAAGAACAGAGACGTGATATTTTCAGTAACTTCGTACCTACAGTGATTTTGGAAAAAAAAAAAAAAAGCTGTCAAGACTACCCCTAATTTGAGATGACTGCTGCCTTTGGATGCTTGCTTTCATGCTCTTCCTGGCCAGCAGGTGTGAGGACTCGTGTAAATGGAAGATCTGCCCAGCAGATGGGTGGGGATCTGCGCATGTGTGCTCTGGCTCAGCTGCAGGGACAGGTCACTACGCAGTCAACGAGCTCGGCCTCACAAACGACTGGCTGTTGCAGCCGTTTCCTATCCTCCCCGTGACAACACCCTGGTGCCGTGTGAGAAGGCGTCGCGTCAAGTCACCTCACAATCTCTGCTGTTTATCTTTTATCTTCCCTTCCGCTCTCTAGCCCTAACCATGGCTTGGCAATTAGCTAAGGTTTCGGCAACTAGCTGCTGAGGGAGCAGCAGCAGGTGCCGTGGGAATCCACGACAGAATTCAGGAGAACCCCGTCGGAATCTGCGCATAGACACAATTTTAGAATATTCAACTGTGAGAGGATCCAGTTTCTAAAATGAAATTTTAATTCACTATACTTGAACATAGCTATTATGTGTTCACTGTCAAATTCTTTTGTGAATGAAGGAGCCTCGCTGAAGATAAGAAAAGACACACTCCAAGCGGGCTCCTCGGTGACTTTTAAAGGCACCAGACTGTGCAACAATCCTAACTTAGCGCTAGACGGTATAAAGAGAATCACAACAATTATTTACGAGAAAGGACTTTCTGGGTTTGCATCGGTTGCCGGATGAAAACGCAGTATAAATGCAAATGAAAAGAGAACAGTTGGAACAATGGGCTGAACCAAGACAATAGCATTTTAAGATGATGGTAATTAATTGCCCATGTAAAGCCATAGGCGTTATCTTCTTAAGATGCTAATTTATTCTTTAAGAACGACGTATTTTAAAAACTGACCATTACAAATATAGCTCAAATATATAGTCGGTAGGCTCTCAGTTAAATCAAAGCAATGCCACCTTTTAGTGGTACCTTTTATTCTGAAAGAACGCACAGATGTTGGCAAATCTGCCCCCCAAGATAAAAATTCAATACAAATTCCTTTATTCTCTGATGATAAAACACACTCCCTAGGAGGAAAAAAGGAGTGCAGAACCACTGAGTATTTGAGAGCGGGAAACAAAACCGATCTCCTTAGAGCAAATATAAAGGAATTAAAGGCAAGACAGTGATCCCGTTGGGAATTTGGTTGGGGTGCGCCGTCCAATCCTCCCCGTCGTGCTTAAACAAATCCCAGGGCAAAATGCCATATCAGAGCCAAAGGATGGCGGGCTTCGTGGCTGCCTCTCCTTGCCCCCCTTACTGGTCAGGCAAGGCCACCAGAAGAGGCAGATGCCCAGGATGTCAGGGAGGAGGACAGGTCCCCGGATCTGGGAGTCATGGGCCAGTTTTCTTTCCCTCAGTTCAGAAATGAGGGTTGCCACACGAGCCACTCTCATTAGTTCTCCCTTTTGGAAGCGACCATGACTCTGCGCAGGCCAGGAGAAGGAACGATGGTTGTCCCCTCTAGAATGCCCTCAGCCTGCCAACCATCTTCCCAAACCGGTACCAGTGAAGTCCTTGGTCCGACAGTTAACTGTGAGTCACCATTTACCATCACAGAAACCAACCAAGATGGCAACTCAAAGGAGAGGAGCATTTGAAATGCATCATCAGGGGATCCCTGGGTGGCGCAGCGGTTTGGCGCCTGCCTTTGGCCCAGGGCGCGATCCTGGAGTCCCGGGATCGAGTCCCACGTCAGGCTCCTGGCATGGAGCCTGCTTCTCCCTCCTCCTTTGTCTCTGCCTCTCTCTCTCTCTCTCTCTCTCTTGTCTATCATAAATAAATAAATAAATCTTAAAAAAAAAAAAAGGAAATGCATCATCAGAGGATTCCCCGAGCTGTGGAACACGCCATAGGTGAGATATTTGTACCTGGGGCATGGAAGGTATAGTCTTCAGTACCCCCTTAATATTTCCCATTACTCTAAGAAAGAACTCAATCTGACCTTTGATAATTGTTTGCCTCCTTGATCACCCCCCTCCCTGTCCCCCTTGCCTTTCTCTCTCCCTCCCCACTCCCATTCTTTCTCCCTTCCTCTCTCTCTCTCTTTTTTTTTTTTTCCCAGTGGACTATATTATAGGCTTAGAGCCTTGGGTTCGCAGTAATAATATATGCTCTGGCCAGAATTGCCTCACATTTTCCCGATTACTTTGTATCTGTGGCAAATACTATTGGGTCTTCAATAGACTTGGGAAGTAATGCTCCCTTTCAAAATGAGTATGCTTTTAAGGAGCAGGCACATGTGAAGAAAGATATTACGTCAATAATAGTACAAGTATCCCACAGACAGGGCCCAGGCCGCAGCACAACGCCTGGGAAAACATGGCATCACCATACTCTCTCAACCCTGAGGTCGCTCTAGAGAACTTCGTCTCCCCGCAGCCTGCACAAAGTTAATGGCGTTTCACTGTGACAGCTAAGCTTTAAAAGCAAACAGCTGAGCGAAAACAACAAAAACAAAACATACTCTTCTGCCTGGATTGAGTCGACTGGAGCCACGTAATTGCTGGGAATGTAACCAGTCTCTCCGGTTGTCAAGGAGCGGGCTTCCCACCAATCTCCTTCCCTGCAGAGAACAAGGAGAAAAGGAGGTGAGTGTGCAGACCCTTTTGATGTCAACGCCGTTAGGGTATCAGAGACTATCTCCCAGTCATCTCATTGGCTGATTTCTGCAAATTCCAACACAGCCCTCTGCGAGGGTCACGCGGCTACCATCAACGTCAGCTGTGACTCGAATCCAGGCTTGTCTCTCATCTCTTATTTTACTTGCAAATTAGGAATGTAGGACCCTGGCCACGAGGGGGTTCTCCTGGGGGTGGACGGGCATTGTGCTTGGTAAGGGTCCCCAGCTTGGACAGAGGCGAAGGGTACTCGGCCTCAGGCTACGTTAGAAACCCTGTAACGAGGAACCAGCTGGTAGTTATGGGAGGCGCGGGATGTGTTATCGTGGTAGACGTTCACGACACGTGCACGGGTCAACCAGCCACACTGTCCACACCGCACAACCCGTCACACCGTACACGACCCATCGCAAGGTACACAGTGTTGTGTGTCCGTGACCTCTCAGCAAAGCTCGAAGAAAGGCAGAGCATGCCCGGACTCTGCTAATTTAGCTCACAGTCCCGACGCGGTCTCACATCCTGAGGCAACCGGCATCCTCTGGTACTGCTGGGGAGATGCACACCGGTCGCTGGCTCTAGTGTGGTTTTGCTCGCCACGGAACGGACGTATCAGAAAAGAACAGAACAGGGCAGCTGCAGACGGTCTGAGAGGGGAAGCCTGTTAGGAGGCCCAGGACCGGATGAGAGCTCACCCCGGGGCCTGCCGTGCTTGCCGTCAGGACAATGGGTCGAATCCTTACAGGCACGGTACAGGCCGAGCGTCGCTCACGCTCAGAAGTGTGCAGCCTGCGGTTCGTTCCTCGCCGCCGACAGCGCTCACCCGAGTCCGCTGGGCAGGAGGGGACGGGTGGGGAGCTGCGTGCGTGCGGGTGCACGGGGAGAACAGACAGTGGCCAGGCCTGAGGCTGAGTCTCCGCACCGCGGGACACCCCGCGTTCCAGGAGGCGGCCTGTCTCAGCCTGCGGGCGGGGGCGGAGGGCCGGGCTGCAGGCCTGTAGCAGCCCGTCAGCTTAGAACAAGACGGCTCAGCTTGGCGGTGAGAGGTCATGTTTCGGCTCAGGGCCACGGATGTGTGACGGAGAGCGCGGACGGAGCGTGTGCCCCCTCCACACAGCGACACGGGGCCGCGGCCCCGCCAGTGCGACACCCACAGAACCTGCACCTGCCCGGGCCAGCACCCTTCGGCACCCCGGGCCTGCCCGACTGCTCTCCAGCAGGGGCCCGGCGCCGTCTCGCCTTCCTTTTTTGGTCCATGGAGGCAGCAAGAGAAATCCCTAGCCTTTTTTTTTTTTTTTTTTTTAAATCATTTAGTGGCTGGACTCTGTGTCAAAACCCTCAGCCAGGGAAGAAAGTGTGTTGGCTTCTGGCCCTGGTCAAGATCTCCCTCGGACTGACAGCATTAGGCAGAGAATGACCAGCCTCTGTATGATCAGAAGCCTTGCTCCAGAGCCCCGTTCTGCAGACCGATTCTGCGTGAGGTGACTGATGAGCAGTAACTCTAGATAGAATTTAATAAAGCAACAGACAAATGATGACAAGCCCACACGTATTCTGGGTGTGGTTTTGGGGGGAGTGCTCGGTGGCACCGGTGGCACAGAACAGCTCATGAGAAAATGGGGTGCTGGCAAGGGCTTTTAAAGACTCTCATGTCTGGTTGTTTGTCTGTATGTTTTTTAAGATTTTATTTATTTATTCATGACAGACATAGGGAGAGAGAGGCAGAGACACAGGCAGAGGGAGAAGCAGGCTCCATGCTGGGAGCCCGACGCAGGACTCGATCCTGGGACTCCAGGATCGCGCCCTGGGCCAAAGGCAGGCGCCAAACCGCTGAGCCACCCAGGGATCCCCTGGTTGTTAGTTTTTTAATTAAATTATTTATTTTAAGAGGGGAGAGGCAGAGGGGGAAGGAGAGAGCAAATCTGAAGCAGGCTCTGAGATACAAGGCTCCATCCCACGACCCTGAGGTCACATGACCTGAGCCGAAACCAGGAGTCAGACGCTTAACCTACTGTGCTACCCAGGTGCCCCTAAAAGCTTACGTTTTAATTCACTTTTCGGTCTTTCCCTTTTTGAGCCTGTTTAACAAATTTAAACAGATACATCCACCAAAACAGGGAGATAACTTCTCACACCTAGGAAGCCCTTTGTTAATCAATCTTAAATTTAGTTTACGTCCAGATCTGTCTTATGAAATGACTGGTACGTACCAAAGGATATGTGTGCATATGAACACCTGTGGACCCACACCCGACCGAAGAGCTGCGTCTTTACTGATCATATGAAATCTACCCCATGCTGTTCCTATTGCATTCCTCTGCCTTTTGGGGCTCACATCACGAAATTCAAACTGGTTCATGTTTGAACAGTTTGTATTGGTTTATCTCTGCGTCCTCCAAAAGAAATACGTGCCCTTGTTCAGTATATCACCTAGGAACACCTGTGGAAGTTGTTTTTTTTTTTTTTTTCTTTCCTTTGGGACACGTGCTAAGAAATGGTTTTGGAGGCTTTAAGATGGTGACATGTTTACTGCTCCGAAATTCCACTAGATGGAGACATTTCATCATTAAAAAGAATAACAATACCCACCACCTCTCCACCCTCTCCTTTCTCTCTCCCTTACTCTACCTCCCAAACCCCACACCCAGGAAATGCTCCAGAATAGCAAAAAATCCAGAGCTTTCAGCAGAAGCCTGTCTTTTATTGCAACCTTCATCAAGTGAGTTCTAATCGACTTAAATGAAGAGGAAGAAAGTCTAATATCAGGGTTGGGGAACATGGAAATGTCATCTGACGCAGGAAACCAATACATTTTTTGGGGCAGGGACAAGCCCAAGTCTGATTCAGATGATCTGGGATTAGTCAAGTAAGGTCGACCCTTGGAACGCCTGGGTGGCTCAGCAGCTGGGTGCCTGCCATTGGCTCAGATCATGATCCCAGGATCCGGGATCGAGTCCCACGTTGGGCTCCCTGCATGGAGCCTGCTTCTCCCTCTGCCTGTGTCTCTGCCTCTCTCTGTGTGTCTCTCATGAATAAATAAATAAATCTTAAAAAAAAAAAAGTAAGGTCGACCCTTGAACCACATGGGTTTGAACTACACAGGTCCTCCTGCATGCAGACCTTTTCCAATAAAACCAGTAAACGTACTCTCTTCTTAGGATTTTCTTAATAACATTTCCTTTACTCTCATTTTATTCTTAAGAACATTGTATATAATACAGATAACATAGAAAATATATGTTAACGGACCTTACCTGTTATTAGTAAGGCTTCCAGTCAGTACTAGAAGATTAGAAGTTAAGTTTTTGGGGGCGTCAAGGTTAGATGCAGTTTTTTGACAGCATGTGGCGAGTGGCGGGAGCTGGCATCCCTAGCCCTCCCCCATTGTTCGAGGGTCAACTATAATTTCCCATTTCAAACCCAGCATTAATGTCTCATTTTGGTGTTGGCACCTAGATAGTTTAGCACAGATTAGAATCCAACTATCAGCTCATCCTAAAGTCATGTATCAGGAATTCATGATTTTTCTCTTAAGTGACTCCATTAATCTCACAAGGGTTTTCAGTTACTCATGAGAAAGATAAAATTCTTTTTATTTTTTGAGGCCATCTAGGGTCACTTTTTCCATCAAAGGAGATATAACGTGACAAGGCAACCATGTATTATTATATAGTAAGCCTCACAGGTTGTGCCCAGAAAGGCTGGCAAACTCGAAATATTAAAAATAAAAACAAACAAAAAACCTCAAATCTTTGAGCAAATGAATAAATCCTCTTTTTAATACATTAGAGGCCAACTCACCCACAGATAAATGATACTTTTTATAAATCATTCACCTTGATTCAGGAAAACAGAATCTGGACTATGGTACTTTCTACTTCTTGAATTATTGTAATGAACGTTTTTAAAACTGCACTTAAAAAAAAACACCTGTTCTTACAGTTCAGATTATTTCATGAATTTAGAGTTGGTGAGATTTTTCTTTAACTGTTATCTTGCTTTGATTAAAATATGTGATTTAAGGCTCTGGTTTAGAATGACTTTTAAGTTTTTATAGCAGCTTCCCCTCATCCTCTGATTTAAAGACTTATTAAGAGAGCCTGTTTTCAGTCCCCCAATTTGCTCATAAAGTTTGTTGGCCCCAGGAGCCTAGGGCCCTGATGCAGCCGGAAGTGGTGTTTGCAAACAGAAGTTGGTCTGATCTGTGGAGCATTTTTATTATAAATGCTATATTATTTTCAAATTTGGTTACTGTCATCTTACTGTCAGAGTATCCGTAACAATTTTATTGCGTGCTTGGAGGGGACTGTAAACCAGAATTTCTCCTTATCAAGATGAAAAGAACTTTGCAAGGAGTCAGTACCCTAGGCACTATTCCACTCTGTGCAACATGTATATTGTATTTTATTTATTTTTTTATATTAATTAATTAATTAATTTATTTATTCATTCATTCATTCATTCACTCATTCATTCATGAGAGACACAGAGACCCAGAGAGAGAGGCAGAGACACAGGCAGAGGGAGAAGCAGGCTCCCTGCAGGGAACCTGATGTGGGACTCGATCCCAGAACTCCAGGATCACGCCCTGAGCCGAAGGCAGATGCTCAACCTCTGACCCAACCAGGCGTCTCTGTATTATATTTTAAAGAGTCACTGGTTTTAGGTGGTAAATCACTAGTCATGGAATGTGAAAATAGGGAATAAAATAAGATGAATTTAAATAGTTTGCTAAATGGGTTCAAATTTAATAATGTCCAAATATACTGCACTGAGCACTTATAATAGGTCGGGGAAGAACCCTTACCCCATGTGGGGCCGTGGTGTCACTGGCTCTGGGCCCATGGCACACACGGGTACCACATGCTTCCTGCTGCCCTTGAGAACACAAAGGCCAGCCCTGCCACCTCCCATTTCTGCCTCCAGACAGGGTAAGGGGTGGGAGGGCACACTCCCTTGGAGGAGAGAACAGAGCGCCATCCCCCTCCCGGCCAGCGGAGGGGAGCCAGGGCTGGGAGAGGCTGGGGGAGGGGGAAGGAGCCCCCGTGCCATCTGGTTCCCAATTCCTGCTTGGTTTGTCCTTCACAATTTCCTCTTCCCTGTCATTACCCTTTACTTCAAGATACTGTATTTGTTGTAAAAATCTTATTTTTTTCCCCCCGACAACCTTGAAAAAGGGCATTTAAATGGCATGTAGGATGAGGAATTCCACTGGCAAGAAGGAAGAACATTAAGGGTGAAAAAAACCAAAACCTTTGCAATATTTTCTTCTAAGAGAAGCAGGCCGGAGGCTGGAAGTCTGTAAACACTACAGGCCATGCATGCAAATCCTAAAATACAGTCTGAGATAGACTGGATCCTCCTGGACTGTTTCTCCAAAATTTCAATTGAATGCCACTGTATATCCTATCCAGATGAACGAAGGAAGAAGTCACCAGTTTGACCTTGGCGAGGACTGGCTTTCCAAGTGGCCTGTGATCCGATGTGTAGATACCCCGGCAGTGTGGACAAAACCCGCAGAACAACAGCTGTGTGGTAGTTCCTACCGCTTCTCAGTTCTTACCTTTCGGAAGTTGGTTAAAAGTTCCAACCAACTTCGGGACTGAGAGAATATTACACAGGATGGGGAGGGGAAGTGGAGGGTATTTTGGAATTTCAAAGTAAGTAGACTCTAAGGAGAAGCATTCATCTGAGAATCAAACTAACAATAAGGAATCACAGATCAGAAGAGATCAAAGCCAAGTTCCCCTCTTCCCCGCCAACCTTCCAAACTTTCATGTATCTTGAAAGGTTCAGTCCCTTCTGGGGTGCGGGGTGGTCCTCTGGGCCCTTCTAAGACTAAACCTGACATGGTCCTCAGGATGCCATCCCCACACCCCACCCTCGGCTCCTCTGTGCACCTGGGAAGCTCCTTAACTTGAGCCTCTGGCCCCTCATATGTCAAACGATGACTCGGAGGCGCATCTCAGACAACTGCCATGAAGAATAAATGGGAACATTTGCAACTTGTACATGGCCGGTGATAGGAGCCTTCAATCAATGGCAGTTGTTTGCTATTTTTTTTTTTTAAATCTCTGTGGCTATAAGGGAGCTTGTAGGGGGCAGGTAATGTTCTTCTGGCTCTCGGTGCTGGTTGCACAGGCATGTTCAGTTTGTGCAAATACAGCAAACTGTACACTTTTAAAACATTGTGGTAAAATATGCACAGCAAAATTTCCCATCTCAAGCATTCTTAAGTGTGAAGTTGGATAGCACTAAGCACATTCACATTGTTGCATGACCACCACGCACACTTCTGATATGTCCAGTTTTCTGTATGTATTTAAATAGTTAAAAAAAACCCAACCACACCCATTAATGATGACAATACTAATTAAAAATAATCCCAACAACCTGGTGGCTCCTAAGTAGACACTGCTTTCTGAGGTCCAGTAGAGTCACTAGTCTCTTCTGGGGGGAATCTAGCTCTTGTCCTTGAAAGGCGGTGTGTTCTGAGTGTTGGGGGCATCCCAGGGAAGGAAGGATGGGGCTTCCCCAGGAGGCAGTTTTCAGGCCTGATGGAGCTCCCTACGACAAAGGAGCTCCCTATGTCTCTTTCCTAGGACAGGGATACCCTGGGGTGCCTCTCCCTCCTCTTGCTCCCCTCTCTTCTCCCTGGAGCTCTCAGCAAAGCTGAAGAGCCGGGCTTTGACTGGTCCTTCTGCCATTACAGTTTGCCCAGGGAATGGAGTAGGGAGCAATTGGATCTGGCGGCACAGGAACACTTCCTGGCGGGCCTTCAGCCTTGGAGTGGCATTCCTCCCAGGTCACTGGGAAGTGTTCACAAGGAAAACTTGAGGAATGGGGAGGAGGCCTGAGTTGCTGATGGACATCATCATTTTCCTTTTTTTTTTTTTTTCTATTGGGGAGAGGGCAGAGGGAGAAGTAGAGAGAGACTCTTAAGTGGGCTCCATGTTGTGGCTTGATCTCACAACCGTGAGATCGTGACCTGAGCTGAAATCAAGAGTCCAAAGCATAAATGACTGAACCACCAGGAGACCTTTGTGTGCGTGCGTGCGTGCGTGTGTGTGTGTTTTAAGTAAACCCTACCCTCAATGTGGGGCTTGGACTCATGACTTCAAGATCAAGGGTTGCATGCTCTACTGACTGAGCCAGCCAGGTGCCCCCACCACCATTTTCTTTGAAGCCTGAAGTTTTCGGGCAGGCACCCTGCCTTAACCTAATAGGGGCAATATTTAAAAACTAAGGGAAATCTGTTTCCCTATATGTGATGCCATATATACCTATATTTACTCTTTTTTTTTAAGATTTTATTTATTGTTTCATGAGAGACAGAGAGAGAGAGAGAGAGAGAGAGGAGGCAGAGAGAGAGAGAGGCGGAGGCGCTCCATGCAGGGAGCCTGATGTGGGACTCTATCCTGGGTCTCCAGGATCACGCCGTGGGCTGAAGGCAGGTGCTAAACCACTGAGCTACTGAGGGATCCCTATATATACTCATCTTAATGGAGGTATTAAATGTAGTGAGTGAAAACTGAGTGATTCTCACCCTTGAAATTTCCCCAATGCCTGTGTAACTGTTGTTCCTACTGGTCCCATCTAAAATGCACACATTGTAGTCATACACAAGTGGGCGAAGTCACTTCTCCTTCCATCTCACAAAGATTTCAGTCACTCACAAATTTTCACTACGGGGAAACGCCTCCACAGGCTTCACCAATCGGAATATTTAACAGTTTTGAAAACAGAAGGTACTTGTTACCAGCTCTAAGTGACGGCTCAGCTAGTGCAACTTGTGAAATGCAAAAAACAAAAACAAAAACAAAAAAAAAATCTCTAGGCAGAGAGAGAGAGGGTAATGTGGGTAGCCAAGCTTTGTGCCAATTATCTGAAAATGCAGATCTGCAGGGGGCGGTACGGGAATTTTTCCAACCTTTGAATCAAAACTATCAACTCTGCTACTTTATGGTGTCCTCCAAAAAGCTCCTTGGACACCATAATACTGCACGGATTCATCAATTCTTCATAAGTTCAGTATCTACTCATTAATGAGGTTAGCAGGTGTTCCTTTAGCATTTCAGATACTAAAAAGACACAGGCTGGTAACACAAGTATTCTTTCCCAATCTGAACATACTCCCCTCCATTTCCCTCTCCGAACTTACGAGCTGTTCAGTATTTGGAATTTCTCTCCTTTGTGAAAACTCAGGTCATCTTCTGTCCGTGCTTCATAATCATAAAGGGCTACAAACAGCGTCACTCCTGAGAAAACGAAATCAAAAGGGGAGAGATTATTACTCAAGGGGAAATTCATTCCAAGAAATTACATCTTCACTCAAATCTCATTCTCAAAAACTACATCTAATCAGCACTGATAACACGGTGCGGTGATGTGATTAATGTGTGATAGCAGAGTTGCAGGGCGGAATTTCTGCCTCGGTCTTTGTAGGGGAAGCATTATTTGACCCGACTAAAACCTAGAGCTGGAGGTGCACTTCTCTGTGCACCTCTGAATGAGTCCTCGGGAAGAGATGGGCATTAACATCATGTCCACAGCCAAGGGGCAGCAGCAGTGTTACCGCTCAGATCTGCAGAGGTCTGCAGCAATTAAAGACATCTTTTATCTGACACAAATTCTCCTCCTCTCAGGAGCCCACGTTAGTCCAGGGTAAAACAGAGCACTTCTTCCCGTGACCTGACAGTAATGTAGAATGTAACAGGAAACTCCTTCTGCAGCCTGGGACTGAGAAGACCTACTCCATTAAGTTCACCCCAATTAGACGGTGTCTTGCTCTTGGCATCTGCAGTTGCTCTGGGGACTCCCTCTCTCCTATCATAAATTTGCCTATCCTTGCATTGATTTGCACTTATTCCTCCTCATACCTACTCTATGTCTTCTTATCTGAGGGGCTCCCCACAGAGGCCCCTCCTGCTTTGCACAAGTCTGCTGTCAACAATGACAAATCTCCAGCATCCCATGTGGCCTAGGACCTCCTTCATACAGTAGGGAGAGTTCTAAGATAGTCCTCAAGGACTCCAACCTCCTGGTATTCATGCTCTTGTGTTATTCCCTTCCCTGGAGTGTGGGCAAACCTAGTGACTTGCTTCTAACCAATAGGACATGGCAAAGGTGATGGGACGTCCCATGAGTGATTAGGTTCCAAAAGATTGTGACTTCTATCTTCCCAGTAGACTCTCTGTATTGCCACTTTTGGCTTAAACACTTTGATGAAGCAAACTGCCATGTTGGAAAGGCACACATGACAAAGAGCTGAGGGTGGCCTCTGGCTGAGAGCCAACGAGGAACTGAGTCCTGCCAGCACCACACGAGCTTGGCAACAGATCTTTCTCAGTTGGACTGTGAGGTGACGATGGCCCAGCCAACACACCTTGATTGCAGCCGGTGAGAAGTTCTGAAAAAGGGGGTCTAGTTAAGTTATTCCTGGATTTCTGACCCACAGGAACTGTGAGATCATAAATATGTATTGTTTTAAAGCTGCTGAGTTTGCGGTATGTTATGCAGCAATTGTTCATGAGTACATTCCATTTCTCGGCTCTCTGGCTCCTCATTTGGATCTCCACACATTTCACAGTGCCTGATGTGGCCTAAGGAACGCACAACATGGATTCCACTCTTTACCAGGCTGCCATTTTGCCATGTTGGTAGTTCCGAGGGAGCAGATGTGCCTTTGGGACTATTCAAAAACCAGAGAAGGAGCTGGGGCTTGTTTTTCTACCCCATCCCAAATGGGGCTTCCTATAGGAGACCTGGCACCCAGAAGGTCTGACCATGCAAAAGCAGCAGGGCTCATTTGGCAACTTTAAATTTCTTTGAAAGCCTGAAAAAGAGACTGGCTTAAAACAAAGAAGTGGAAGTCTATAAGATCATGTCTGTTCTCACTGAACACTCTATTAACAGATTCTTTTTGTTACATAATTTAAAAACAAACCCTAGCTCCACCAGTGAGGAAGACAAGGCACATGAGGACGGATACTTCCAATCTCCCACTATCTCCCCTGCATCAGCTGGCAAGTTCTTACTGGGGTTTTTAATCTTCTAAGGATGGAGGGGAGAGTCAAAGGAGGTCACAGGGGCACACAGGCACTGTTCTTGGCCTTAAAGCACTAAAAGCAGTGGCGGAGAGACACACATGCACACACAACAAAGCCAAATAATACAAGGCCGAAGAGTCTGCCAACATTTGGGAGTACTATGTTTTAACTTCCAAATCTTAAAAGGGACCAGGCAGCCTCATACTAAGATTGTCCCTAACTACAGTATAGACTCCCATGTTCAAGGCGAGTAGCCCTTTCTAGTGACTTTATGAATGACACCTGCAGACACAGGGATTCATATCCAGCATTCATGAATGAATGAACAAACAAGGTCGATGTCTGCGTCAGCAGAATTCAGTCTGGTTGGCAAAGAACTCAGCAGGCACAGAAGTGTGTGCTGGTGCATTTTTGGCTCTTTTTTTTATCCCCCTCTTGTATCCTCAGAGACAGACTTCCATAAAATGCCTCCTCCCTTCCTCCCTCCATTCCAGGAAGGTAGGAAGGATGGGTGAGTGTACTAACATCCACTTGCTCATGCGAGGCTGACTTTAAAGAGAAAGTTGGAACCACTACAATATAATGATAAAATGCCCAAAACTCTGGATCAGGCGCCTTGGATATAACTATGCTGCTTTATTGTAGGCAGAGGTGGGGGTAAGGGCAACAATCAACCAAACCTGTTAATGCCTCAGTAGGGCCAACTCCCCAGGTAAAAAGGCACAGTGAGTTCTTATATAAGACATGATGAGCCAAGAGCATAATTGGCTGATGTACATTTCTTTAAACTTTTCTAATAAACAAAACAGTATGGAACAAATAATGTCAAATATCTAGTTACCATGATTCACATGCTGGGAAGAAGATTTGGAAGGCTAAGGATGCATGAGATAACTTACAAATATTTTGCAAAACATATGTCTGAGAATGTATGCCAGATATTTTATGAAGTATTAGCTAAGTCAGCAAATGTACATGGCAGTAAAACAGAGCCTTGTGGTGGGAAAGAGAAGGAAACTTAAAAAGCAAAACAAAACCAAAGCTGAGAAGGATCCCTTAAGGATACATGAGATTTGATTTTAAAATACAAGAGATACATGATATACTTGAGGGTTGATAAACTCAGTCATATGGAAGATGATGGGAAGATCAGAAACAGAATTAATGAAGATGAATGGCCAAAAACTAATGCTACCCAATGTCTGCACTGGCTGGGAGGTGCCAGGGGAAGATGAGGGAGGTGCCAGGTGGAACAGGTGGAAGATGAGGGAGGAGGTGCTACCCCCCCCCCCACAAAGTGGCTCTTAACTGAGGGTGGGAGGAAGTGCACTGATATCTGGAGAACTCAAAACATACATTCTCAGATCCAGTCCTGAAAGCTTCTGATTCAAAAGATCTGGGATGGGACTTAGTATTCCAAAAAAGCTGTTACTTAGCCAGCCACGGTTGAGTCTGCCAGTCACGGTTGAGACCACTGACTGGCCTAGACTACCTTAGCAGAAGCTGTACCTCCCAACCCATGCAGCATCCTCATAGAGCAGCAACCTGAGGTCCCCCTATACCCCTACAGATAGCATTTTCATTGGTCCGTCAAGCTCTATGTTTTTTGTTTTGTTTTGTTTTTGTTTTTTTAATAGCCCTTCATCTGCCTTGGATAGATGGGGACTGATGAAAAACTGAATGTTAAATCCTTCGTCAAAGGGAGCTGCCTAGAACACAAATGTTCAATTGACAAAAGAATTAAGAATGGCTTAATGCTTACCCGTTCCTCCCCTGGTACGCAAGGTCCCGGTATGAGATGAAGAGTTCACACCCCCAAAGACAGTGAGTCCTTGGCCTCCGGCCGCGTGGAAGTTGTTGTAGTTTGGGATGGAGGTCACGCCGAAGCTGGGGTAGTGCTGAGGAGTGGGGTCTGTGCCATAGCGGTACCCGGAGCTCTGGTTCAGGCTGCCATCCCTCTCCTCTGTCAGTTTTGTTGCTTCTTTATCCTTACATTGCACACAGCCCATTATCTAAATTCCTGTTGAACACAAAAAAGGAGGCATGTGAACTTGGATGCTCCTCAGTTGCTGGGTTGCTGGATTAAAGAGGAATCATTTGTCAGGCTCACGCCTGGCTATTTCAGGCCTGAAAGGGACATGAGGGAAAGCAGTGGCTTAGGTTGATGGTTAGAAGCAATCTCATGGCCTTTAACTTGACAATCACATTTGCTCCCCATGTGCTCTGGGTGTCGGGAACCACACAGGGTATGGTTACCAGGCAGCAATTGCCTTGGATGAGGCCTGCACCCCTTAAAGTCCTCTAACATCACACACCTGCTTAAAGAGAGTCCAATACTACATATTATGCTTTTCTTTAGTCATCTAAAAGAATAATGTATGCTCTAGAAAGTCAGTCTATGCAATATTAGAATAAAAATCTCCATTATGGCAACAACAAAAAATCTAAGGAAGAAAGTGGAGGAATGTTGGAAAAGCCGGAATACACCCTCTAAACAGCTCACCATACTTTTTTTTTCAAGGCTACCCATTCTTCAGGCACATTCCTGGTAGATTTTAAGCAGTAAGATGGTGATAAGTATCAATATTAAGAAACAGCTGCTGGATGAAAAAATAAAATTAGGAGTGCCTGGGTGACTCAGTCGGTTAAGTGTCTGACTCTTGACTTTGGCTCAGGTCATGATCTCAGGGTCGTGAGATCCAGTTCCACATAGGGTTCTGGGCTGGGCGTGGACTCTGTTCAAGATTCCATTTCTTTCCCTCTCCCTTTGCCTCTTCCCTCCTCTAAAAAAATAAAATAAAATAAAATAAAATAGGCAGAAGAAACTAAGAGGTCCGACCATATTTGCAGGATGTCATGATAGCCTACAGTAACAAAATCATTTAAAGCTGCTAATTAACTTTCCAAATTTCCATTAGCTTTTGACATCTTTCAAAAATATTTAAAAAAAAATCAAACTAGAGTTAGTGGTAGATTAAAAACTCAGGTCATTGTCACCCCACCCTCCTCCAAACCTACTTCTATGCTCATCTTAGAAATGCCACCACCATCAATGACTGACTTGCTCTAGCCACAGTTCTGAGAAGCAACCTTAGCTGTTTCCTTTTTACTTCTCACTTTCCCTGTCTCACACTCTACTATACAAACATGCAAACTCCTCAGTTCCTTAAAGGTTATATGTTCCCTGGACTCGAACATTCTTTCCTGATGTGCAACATATCCTTCATGTTCCAGGTAAGACACTGCTTCCTCCACGAAGCCTTCTCTGGTCCCATACCCTCCTTCCAAGGCTGGGGTGATGCTCTTTCTAAGTGCTCCCATGGCATCTTGATTTTCCACCTATTGTGCCATATTAAAACATGGTCTGTCCACTTCTCTCATTGCCCAGTGGACTGTGGGATCTGGGAAAGCAGTGCCCTGTCCACTTTTATCATAGTTATAATGCTAGTACTAGCTTGGCAAGCACAAGTGCTCAACAAACAGCAGTCAAATGAGTGAAGATTCTCTAGCCTAGTATGTTTCTCTTTCACGCTTTCTTTCTGCATCAAGACCAACCCTGCTCTCAGTGACTTACAGTAGTGGTTGATCCTGAATTTTTTAAACTATTGCTATTTGTGACAAATAAGGAGAATTCAGAAATACAAGGTTAAGTTGGTTAAATGATCGTACTTTGGACTGTAATACCCTGTCGGGTTGATGGAGGTAGGCTGAACATGCAATGGGTGGGAAAGGGCTTCCAAAACTCTGAAAAGTGGCCTATATGAAACCCAAGGATCAAATAAGAAATGCATGACATCATGTGTAATTACATGTGTTCACTGGGGAGGGCAAAGCTGGTACAGGAAGAGAAGGGACTTGCAGTAGTGGAGAAGAATGAGGGAGCCAGTTTTTCTGAGTATCTTAGTTTTTCTGAGTATTTTGTGATCCAAAGTGCGGAGTGCCACATCAGATAGAGAGACTCTTCTTGGCGGCAGGCACTGTTCTGAGCACTGCTTTTCTGGGGAAAAAGGACATGAAAGCAGCATAAGAGTGCTCTAAAGTCCTCTTACATTACACATTTCAATAAATACTTATTGAATTCAATGGCAGTTCCCGAGAATGGAAATGTCTGGAAATGAGCCGCCTACTGCTTGAGCTGAGATCACCCAATCTGGAACACATTTACGCATAAATCACTTGAGACTAACTTACAGTACACTGGGTCCAACATGCTCTCTAACTTATGGTAGATGAATGCCATTTTAACAAATTTCCAATAGGAAATGCAAACTATCTCCAAGGCATGATTTACTGAAGGAATTTCATTTGTGGTTGGTATTGCTTCACAAGACTGATAAATAACTTGCTCACTTTATATTAACTTTTTCATGGAAGAGAGTTGCTTTGAGCTTCCACAAAGGCCAGACAGAGATAGTTCTTGTCCCAGGCACTTTTTTCAGGGATTTCCCTGGCTTACTCTAATTAGAAGGTGTGAGACCCGAATCACGGAATCACACCATTTACATCGGCGATTCTCAGCGGGGGTCAACTTTACTCTTCTCATCCCCACAAAGGGACATAACAGGCAATGTCTGGAGACACTTCTGGTTGCTGAAACTTAGGGATAAGAGGTATTACTGTACTTAGTAGAGACCAAGGATGCTGCTAAACATTCTACAATGAACAGGACAGCCTCCAACGACAAATAACTAATTGACTCCAAATGTTAGTAACATCAAGGTTGTGAAATCCTGATTTATGGAGGAGAAAGAAAGAATTTATATCTAGATTTCTGAAATTGTATGTAACAGCGGTTTCCCTTATATGTGTGATCAATGTGCAATTCACGATGCCTTTCCTAGGAGAACAGGCAGGCTAGGTAGGCTAGGTATCAATTTAAAAATTGATAAGAAATGCTGATTCTTCCCTAGAAGCTTGTTCCTTTCCACAGAGAAAAGAATCTAAACCAAAGAGAACTCTCATTACAAACTACTCTTTCAAGTCCAACAAAACAAAACAAAACAAAACAAAAAATGACACATCAGAACCCCACTGAAAATAGGGCCTTATATCTAAACCACTCTAAGAAAAAAACTAATCTTTCACAATCCACTAAGAAAAACTATCACCACTGGAAATAAACAACTAACACCACATATATAACTATGAAAAAAAAAACGAAAGGAAACAAATGGTAAGCTCCCTGATGGCAGGGATTATTTTTTGGTTTTGTTTTATTATCTAGAATATTGTTGCATGCTATATTGTAGACCTCAATACGTATTTATTAAATGATTAAAATGCAAAAAACCAAAAGTTGGTCAAAATAATTTTGGAGGAAACAATCCTCTTTTGTAGAAGGGATAGCTCTGTTACCACTTTACACATTGGCAGTTTCGAGTAAGAGGTTTCTGCACAGGTCTTGCTTCCTCTCTTCCCCTTGTTTGCAAATATAAAGACACTGAAATAAATCAGTAAATGCAGGCTCAAGACATTAAAAGTTGATCACAATGAAAATATTTGTGTAAGAACTTGTGGTCTTCTTCCTCCCACTTGGGGCAGTTAGACTAACCATTTCCTGATGGAAGAGTAGGAAGACACTCTATGAGCTGTACTCAACATGACCTCAGATTCCTTGCCATGAGACAAACTTCTGAGCATTTGAGTTAAAATTAAAAAAGAAAAAAATCCTTTATTACATACAGTTCTGTGGTGTGGCATTTATGGCCAATGCCGTAGGTCCATTATGAATGTATAATGTACTAGTGTACTTGCACAAGATCCGTGGGGCACCGGGAAACACTGCATAATGCTACTCCGGAAGTGGGACTTTGGAATTACTCTGACTAGTAAATCACACACCATGAACTCATGACCATCCTTCTCTGCATGCTGCTATGCCTAGAGAAGCTGGTGGACAAGCACTTTGACCAATAAGATCCTGTGACCGTGCTTGAGGTGTCTGGATTACAGCCACGAAGCCTTCCCTGTCTTCAATCCTTTGGCAAGACTGAAGGGCTCTTTCTGTTACGCAAGGAAAACCTGACACGTGAAATTTCCTTAGTCCTGTGGATCTTATATGTGCCAACAGCATTAAGCAACTCAGGGAAGAGTTGTCAGAGAGAATCCGAGAATTGCCACACCCTATTCCTGTGAACATGGCAATCATCAACCCATCACAGCACTTTCTGGTGCTATGCCACGTGTGGCCTCAGAGTCCTTCTTCACATAAGCCCTCGAGTGATCGACTGAAGCTGCCATCAAAGATGGAATCTATCCACGACTCTGGGCATGGGCTGCTTTGATGCAGAATGAGTCTGGTTGAACATACACTCCCTCCACCCATGCCACAGACCACAGTCCAGTCTCCTAGGTGCACAGTAAACACAGATAAAACAAAAGGTAAGCTCCCATTTCCCCGTATGCCAATCATTAAAGCAACACCTGTATACACTCGGGTCCTAACGCCACAGGACTTCCAAAAAGATTTCAGAGAACAGATACCAAAGAGGGGGAAAAGGCCACTGGCAGTCTTCTGCAAAAGCAAATTACCTTCTCTTGAAACGTATAAACTTGCAGGCAGAGGAGGGATGGCAGGAGGAAGGAAGGTGAAAGTGACAACAAATAATTTTAATTTCAGCAGCGAGAGCACTTTTGTCTTGGAAACCAACCTAGGTGGATGTGGGGAAGTGAGAGCCCTGAGGCATAGGTTGCCATCCTTGCTGCTGACAGCGCAGACTTTGAAGAGTGACAGGTAGAAAGCCACACTCTTATTGTACCCTGATGTGGCATGTTTCTTGGTGGTATCATTCACCTTCCCTTTAGCTGTTCTCCACTTTACCTGGGTGCAAATCATAGTAAAAGTGAAGGAACAAGGGAACCTAGAAACCAAACAAAGCAACTGAGATAGGGGCAGTTGAAAAAAGAATTGAAAGCTGAATTGTAGATCAACTGCACAGTCTCATACACTCCTTGGGAAACACAGCAAAAACCGGTAGTTTAATGAGCAACCACCACCCTTTTCTGGTCAATAGTAACTAC